CTCACAGTCCGCCATCCGACAGGTCTCCATTGAAACCAACCAAGCATGTAGCACTTCAAATGAAACGTGGCCACACAGAAGACATTTAACACGGAACCCCGCTCTGTGGGCACAGCTTCTGTCTTTCCATTTGACGCCCAGAGCGTGCACTCTAGAGAAATGGAGAGAGCAGAGGCTCTGGGGCACAGCAGAGATGTGGGAGCCTGTGCACTTGCACATATCCCAGAGTGTCTGTTTGCTGGTATGTACAGAGGAGGTGGCGGCATACGTCTTCTTAGAGAGCGAATGAAAGAATTGAGGGAGCAGCTATATGGTGGGGGTGGCTGTACTGAATTGTACATGTAGCAAACGTTGAAATAACACATTTCCTCAGACATGATTTTACCATGATGAATGACTGAATGAAAGGGGATGTGCGAGAAGCAGCCAAGGGCTTAGAAATAACATGTGGGCTCCTTCTTCATCCCCTTACAATGGACATTTCAGTGAGTCCCCAATAGCGCCGCCGTCCCTGATGATAAGGCAATCAACTGGAAGAATCCCCCTTCTTCCAGTGTGAGTGGTGTAGGTTTGAGCAAATGACCTAACTCTAGCTAATGAGATATGAAGAAACGTTTGCTGTGAGCCTTTGAGGAAGGGTTCCTTCTCCCTAAGGAGAGACACAAGGAACCCTGGTGGCTTAGTGGTTACAATGTGGGCTGCTAATTGCAAAGTCAGCTGTTCGAAACCACTAACTGATCTGTGGGAGACAGGAGGCGTTCTGCTGCCATGAAGAATTAGTCTCAGAAACTCACAGAGACAGTTCTACCCTGTCCTCAGGGATGCTATGAGTCAGCATTGTCTTGGTGGCAGTGAGAAGAAAAGACACAAGAGTTAGTCTCAGTTTTTCTCTGGATCATGTATGTTCTGGAGGCGGCATGCCATTCCTGGATCCATTTTGCTACTGACCTAAGGATAATATAAATATATAAAAGGGGCAGGGCCCACAGGTCCTAAGAGAAGTGGGATAAGAGTCCACCCACAGTCTGTCTGGTGGCAGTTGATTTTTTGTAGTATTGGTTAACATAAACATTTCCTTATTATTGTAATCGAGTGGAGCCAGCATTTTCTATTTCTTGCAGTTGAAGTCAACCAAATAGGTAAACCCCTCATTATGGGCTCTTATTTCTCTGGCCAAACTTTCAAGGTCCTCCTGCTGTTCCTATTTCCTCCTGTTAGTCGTCTTGATGTAGCGCCCCTTTGGGCTCCAGAGCCAGTCATTCCAACAGAACAACATTGCCTGACAACCCTTTATCCATTGACATGCACATATTTCTGCCCGGAAAAGTCCCAGTGTTGTTTCACCGCCCACTGTCCAGGACTTCAGAGAACAGCCACAGCAGTATGGCATCATCCCCATTGACCAGATTAGAGAGCCACGCGCCCTTCCCTTGCTTTGGGCCTTGCGGCTGCTCAGGCCAAGCTGGATTGTTTGCCATTTTACTTCCAAGCAATTCTTCCTGTGGTTGCTGCTGGCTGGCATAGCCTCTCAATTTTGTTGTCCTTCCAGTCTAGTCCCACAGGCATCCTTCCCTGAGTGAGATGAAAATGGCAGTTTGCCTGAACTCCTCTAAGTCCATGTCTCTCTTCAACTCCAGGTCAACCTTCCAATGGAGATGTTCGTCCATTTCTTTGATATTCCTTACTGGATATAATTTGTTAACTGGGAAGAGCTACATACATATCCACTTGAAAGGAAGCAAAGGTAAAGGTACAGGTTGTAAATCAGCTGGGTTGTGGTTTGAAGATGCTCCGTGCCACCTAAGAGGTAAGGGAAGTGGAGAAAATACCAAATCCTGTGTTGCAATTTTCATCCGAAGTTAGAGCTAATAAGACCTGCCCCTTAAGCTGATGGGAGGATTCCATGCGACAATTATATGAAAATGTTAGGGACAGAGTAGACCCTAAACATTACTTTCATTTCTACCTTTTCACTGTGACTGGGAGGGAATATGTCCTTTCTGCTGACCCAACGTGTGTGAGGGGTTCGGATGCACAGAACCTTTCTCCGTGGATATCAAGCCATCTGTGAGGTATTACAAGTGTCCCCACCCCTTTGCCCACCACAGGGAAGTAGACATTTAGGCATAAGCTCGACATTTCATGCACAACTCTGCCGGGAGGTCCGGGCTGGACTGCATACAATGGCTTGCCGAGGAAATGAGCAGGGACTCAAGCCTATTGCCTTCATTGAGATTCCTCCGTTGGGCTTTTCACAAAGAGAAAACGCTTCTGCATGGTAGGTTGCCTCCCTCGGCTGTTTAAAACCCTTCCTCATAGAGGGAAGCAAAAAGAGGACTATGGAGTTTGAAGAGTTTCTCAAATTGCTACTGGACTTGAAGCTATGGTGGTCTAGCCAGTGGCACTCAACATTTGGGGGACATAAAATTAGATGGGGTAGATTTTTAGCCTCATTCTTAGAGATTCTGTCTGATACAGGTATTGAGATAGTTAAGGTTTATTGTGCCAACCTGGCCGATAAACACATGTGGGTTTAATTGAAGGACAGAGAGATAAAATGGCTCAGTGAGCCTAGCCTTGCAAGTTCTCAGGTCTCTTGCTTTGTGATGATCCGCATATATAAGAACATATGCTAACCAATACTACAAGGGTGCAGCTGCCTTAGCCAGTTCCCTGCTTCAGCTGGCAAGACTCACTTCATGGATGCTGGAGCACCCATGTGGAGACGCCTGCCAGCGCTGAGATGTTTACACATTCACTAATTCGGCTTTCCTCCTGCAGGCGGTGTCGTTGCGTGTGTTTTGTGAGATGGAGGAGGACTTTGTAGATCAGTGTCGGACATATGGGCTAATGTTGGACTTATGGGCTTGGACAGTACTGGGTTGGGATACTTTCTTAATGTACATTTACCCTTTATCTAAAACTCACCCTTATGCACATGAGTTTCTGTGGAGTTGTTTCTCTAGTCTACCCAGGCTGACACAGGCATCGTATGGTCCATAACACTCTGTCTTCACTTAGCATCTCAGATGACCCTCATAGATGAAAGAAACACTGACTGTCGCCAGAGAAGTTGGTTGTCAGAGGAGCAAGTCCACCATGCTACTTGAGTGGGCATAGCTGCTCACCCAGTCACTCGCTGAGTCTCAGCGGTGGAAGTACAATCCTGTCAGTACTATGGGACCAGGATCTCATCCTGGAGGCACCATCCCAGGTCACAGGAGATTACAAAATGAGAACAGGTTGAGGCGCAGGTTAAGGAAGAGCCGTGGCACTGACCTGGAAAAGGAGATAACCAAAAAACTGGGTCCACTCTGAGACCAGGAGGCCCAGGGAATTACCTCAAGGCAAATGAGCTTAAAGAGTGAATGGGGCAACCAACAACCAATGTGTGGAAACATCCGGAGCTTGGACCCCGGAGCCCTGACCATGTCTCGGGAAAAGAAGGTCTTTAGGTGTTCACTTCCTTTTGGAGGACGATGTGCAGTCTGCTTCTGAAAAGATTTTCAAGGTCTTGGAAGCTCTATAGGAGCACTATCAGTCAGAGTGGACTTAACAGTCGTGGGTTTGGTTTGGAATTATTTTGTATTATTTCCTCTTGAAATGATTCATCCAGTTTTCAGGAGTATTTACACCAGAGATTTGGAGAAGTGAAGTCTTAGATGAGGTAACTCCCTGGAAAGGTGGAATTGCATACTGGCCACCATTTGTCTTATGGAGTGCCTAGATGGGCCGACATTTTATCTAGACAGTCTTCTCTAATTCTCATAGCACACATATAAGCAGTGTGAACTGCCTCCATTTTTCAGATGAGGATCGAAAATCTCAGAAAGGTTAAGCCATTTGCCTAGGGCCACACAGCAAAGCAGATAAAATACATCGGTGCAGGGGAGAGCCTTCTTATCTGTTGGTTCTCTTGGTACCTCCTCAGACCCCAATCTTGGAAAAATGTATCCTCAGTGACCAGGAACAGACCTCCCAGGACCCACAGATCCAGCCTTACCAGACACCTGGCAGAGAAAAGTGGCTTCTGAAGCAGGAGGAGCCCCAGGAAGATTGCTCAGCTCCTGTGTGTGCTGCCTCCCAGCTGGGGATGACAGTTAATCTGGAAAATCAATTCAGTGCCTGCTCTTGCTGTAGATGCTCCCCAGGGTGGGCCACAGCTCCTCTCGCTGCTGTTAAACAGCACAGAAAGTGGGGAATTGAGAGGAATTAGGCATCCCGTGTTCATCAGTGTAGCGTGTCGGGCAACTGAGCGCTGGGCTGGAGATGACCCACAGAGCGCTTAGTGATGGGACCTTCAGCCTCAGGGGCAGAAAGGGAATTTGTAGGCAGGAAGTGGCTCTGGCCCTTTCACTCTGAGAATAAGTAGAATTGGCTCCTGCAGGTCACCTTGGGCCTCCCTTAAACACTCTGGGCCCTGGGACAAAGCTGGTCCTGTTTAGATGCTTTTTCCACTGGGGTCTCATGCCCTCTGAGACATCTCTAACAGTGGGCAAAGTTTACCCACGGTTGAGGATCCTCCAGGGAACCCAGACCCAGCGTGTAGCTGGAAAGCTTGTGACATGTGACACCTAGTTTTTCTCAAGGCTGCCGTGACCAACACTGCTCCAAGACTAATGTACAGGGCGCTCGAGACCAGAATCTGGTCCGTGACTCTGGAAGGCAGACAGAGCCATCACTTACAGAGAGGACCACTTTTGCTTCAGAGGAGACCCAATGGCATCCCCCCATGGGACAGGTTGCAATATGACCTTACACAACCATACTATCCATCTTAACATAGCAGTCCCTATGAGAAGACAACTCTGAGAGGTAAGCAGGTGAGAAGTTCTTTTCCCCAATTTACAGGGGATACTCAGAGCCTTGAACTAGCTTGAAATGGTAGGTGACAAACTCAGACAGAGAACTTCTCAGTACAACGTTTGCGTTTGACTATTACTCCTCACCACGTCATTGCATATGTCTGAGATTGTTTTTTTTTTTTTATTTATTAAAAGATCATTTTGGCCAGACGTTCTCCGCAGAGCCGCCGCGGTCTCCTGCTTCAACAGTGCTTGAACGGAACCCTGCGCTCGCCAGCCTCCCCCCGCCAACCGGCCGCCCAGCCCGCCGTCCAGCAGCACCTCTCCGCCTCCTCTCGACGCCCCCAGGCCTCCACCGCCGCCATGACCGCGTCTCCCTCGCAGGTGCGCCAGAACTACAACCAGGACTCGGAGGCCGCCATCAACCGCCAGATCAACCTGGAGCTCTACGCCTCCTACATCTACCTGTCCATGTCTTACTACTTCGACCGGGATGACGTGGCTCTGAAGAACTTTGCCAAATACTTTCTGCACCAGTCTCACGAGGAGAGAGAGCACGCCGAGAAACTGATGAAGTTGCAGAACCAACGAGGGGGCCGGATCTTCCTCCAGGATATCAAGAAACCAGACCGCGACGACTGGGAGAGCGGGCTCAACGCCATGGAGTGTGCACTGCACCTGGAGAAGAGTGTCAACCAGTCCCTGCTGGAGCTGCACAAACTGGCCACGGACAAGAACGACCCCCATCTCTGTGACTTCATCGAGACACATTACCTGGATGAGCAGGTGAAATCCATCAAAGAGCTGGGCGACTACGTCACCAACCTGCGCAAGATGGGGGCCCCAGATTCCGGCCTGGCCGAGTATCTCTTCGACAAGCACACCCTGGGAGACAGTGATGGAGAGAGCTAAGCGGCAGCCTGGCCTTCCCCAAGTCACCAAGGCAGCGCATGCATGTGGGGTAGACCTGTCCCTTTTCTAGAAATTGTACCCAAGCATCCACTTCCGTTCTTCCATTTGTACCTTTCCTTCAGATAAAGTCTGAAGTCATTTGATACCCAGCTGTTGTCTCAGAGATCTTGGCGGGGAGGGGCCAGGGAGCCGCCCCGGGCCCAGGCAGTCAAGTTTTTTAAGCGCCCCAGTTCCACTGCAAAATCCCACTTAATAAAATGGAGCTTGCGCGGAAAAAATAAATAAATAAATAAAAGATCATTTTACTGGGGGCTCATATAACAATCCATACAATAATTGTATCAAGCATATTTGTACATATGCTGCCATCATTCTTTTCTAGACATTTACCGTCTACTGAGCCCTTGGTATCTTTTCTCCCTTTGCGCTGCTCCCCCACCTCTCCTCCCCACCCCTGCCCAGGTCTCTTCTTTTTTGAGGATATTGTTGGCTTGAAGTAAAAAACAACCACAAAACTAGTTGCTGTGGATTATTAGAATAAAAATGTTCTCTTTGGGGTTTTTAATGGTGGTTTGTCAGAAGTAGGGCACTAGACCTTTCTTCTGAGGTGACTCTGGCTAAACTCAAACCTGTGAGTTAGCAGCTGATCCGATTTTCAGCACAAGGGTAGTAATAATAATAATAATGTGTGTCAGAAGGCTGCAGAGACTCGCGGAAACCACTGCCATGAACACACTCTATAAAGCAACCGGACAAGGCAAGAAAAGGAACACTTACCCAATTCTGACCACTTCACGTTCCCTTCCCCCTGGACTATTTTCTCAGCGGTGACTTTTCTTCCTGTCTCTTCCCTGCCCAGCTGTTTCATCTGAACGAGCATAAGGAGAGCCAGTGTAATTGGGCTTTGCTGACAGGGAGGAGGTTATTATCACAATTTTACAATCAGTAAGGTGAAATTCTGGGAAATTATTTTCTGGACCAAATTTCAGTGTTCAGTGGAAGCAGGATCCTCCCTAACTCCTGCTGTGCCCCCCTCCCCCTACCATCCCAGGATAGCAGGTGATAGCGGTGAAACTCTAGAACCCAGAGCTCATCTTGCAGGTGCGTCCTTAATCACCACTCCATGGGCTCATCTGTGTTGGTGACCTCCAGGCCTTTCAGACTCTGAGTATTCTAGAGAGAGCATCCATGCACACCTCAAGGTATGGCCACTGTCATTCATCCATGTCGTCATCTCCCCAGAGAGAGGACATGTTCCAATCTGAGGCCAAGGCCTGCTCTCCTGAATGGCACAGTGGGGGCAGCCAAAATGTCTTCACACACAGATTAGGCAGCAGGGAAAGGCAGATGGAAACTTGGCTCCTATTTCTAAAATTCCATGGGGAGGACAGTTTCTCAAAGCTCAATTAATCCAGGGTTCTCAGTCATCAGGAAAGGAAAAAACCATCCCCGCCCCTCTTCTCTCTTTTTAGAGTCTCTAAGAGTAGGAAGGATTGGGCCTTGAACTCCAGACTAGGAAACCTAGATTTTAGGTGTGTCAGGTTGGGCTCTCTAGAAAAGCAAAACCAGTGTTGTGTGGAGGTGTCGTCATAGAGAAGGACATGCATGTATACCAAGAAAGCGTCCACACAGTTGTTAAAGTGGGTAAGTCCAGTCTGGTTCAAGTCAGAGGCTCAGGTGTAAGCTGAAGGCTCCCCCTGACTCCTGTAGCTGTAGAGCTTGGCAGACAAAAAGCTGGGAGATGAAGCAGGAAGACCCAAACCTGGTGAATGCTGAGCTAAATGAATCTGAACACGGCTGAATTAAACCAAGTCAGAAGTCCGCGGAAAGCTCCTGGGATCTGCAGGCTGTATTCAAGGAAGTTGCTGGTCCAAATGCAGGATCCTAAGCCAGCAGTAGAAGTCCTCTAGCCTCCACACAGTCGATTTATATGAAGAGTAGACCAGCCCAGCGTGAACCTGCCCGCAATCATATCAAGGCTGTGACCAGATTAAGGAGGTCTACTCTCCACAGCAGTTAATAATTGGAACTTTGAATGTATGGAGTATGAATCTAAGAAAAATAGAACTAAAAAATAAAATGATCTAAATTCTAGGCCTAGTGAGCCGACATGGACTGATATTGTCCTGTTTTGAATTAGAAAATCATGTGGTTTACTATGCATGGAATGACACAATCAAGAGGAATTATATTAGATTCGTTGTTAAAAAAGACATGTCAAGATCTTTCTTAGAGTACAATGCTGTCTGTGATAGTATAATATCTATCCACACACAAGGAAATTTAAGTAATACAACTGTTATTCAAATTTATGCACCAGCCTCTAAAACTAGAGAGGAAGAAATTGAAGAACTTTACCAACATCTTCAAACTGAAATGGATTAAACATACAATCAAGATGCATTGATCATGATTGACTATTGGGATGCAAATTTGGAAACAAAGAGGCACAGCAGCTGGAAAATATGGTCTTCAGATATAAATGGAGCTGGAGATTGCATGATAGAATTTTGCAAGACCAATGACTTATTCATAGCAAATACCTTTCTTCAACAACATAAACGGCTAGTGTACAAGTGGACTTCTTCAGATGGAATGCACAAAAATCAAGTTGACTGTGTTTGTGGACAGAGACAAGGGAGAAGTTCAATATCAGCAGCTAAAACGAGGCCAGAGGCCGACTGTGGAACAGACCATCAATTGCTCATATATATTTAAGTTCAGCCGAAAGTTGAAGAAAGTGAAAATAAATCCACACGAGCCAAACTATTACCTTGAGTCCATCCCACCCAAATTTCCAGAACATATAAAAAATGTGGTACTTTAAGCACTAATGACATACTAAGAAAGCAAAAGGTTATTAAAATGACAGCGAAAAAAAGAAAAGGTCAAAATGGATGTCACGAGAGACTGACGCTTGCTCTTAATCATAGAATAGCTCAGGGAAATGGAAGAACGATGAAGTAAAACAGCTGACCTGAAATGTCAAAGGGTAGCTTGAGAAGACAAGAGTAAAATATTATAAAGAAATGTGTAAAGACCTATTGTTGTTGTTAGGTGCCATCCAGTCAGTTCCGACTCCTAGGGACCCGTGCACAACAGACTGAAACACTGTCTGATCCTGTGCCACGCAGAGTGGTCTTTCGAGGTAGGGATGGTGAGACTTCATCTCGTGTACTTGGTGCATGTTATCAGGAGACACCGGGCCCCGCAGAAGGACCTCATGCTTGGTAAAGTACAGGGGCATTGAACAAGAGGAAGGCCTCTCAACAAGATGGATTAGCATAGAGGTTGCAACAATGCACTCAAACATCAGATCATTCGTGAAGCTGGAGCGGGAGCAGACTGTGTTTTGTTCTGTTGTACATAGATAGGGTCACTATGGGGCCAGAATGGATTCAATGACACCTACCAACAACATTCTTCCCACAACTTTTTGGCTGCTTCACAGAAGATCCCCTCGTGGAGTTGGCCACACTAAGATCGTATCCTGGGAGAATCCTGGCCCACCCAAGTTGACATAAACCCTATCACATTCAGGTTAAGTGGACTTGCCAGAGAAAAATTGCATTTGGTTAAATTCTAATTTTGTCATTTTCCTTAATGTGTAATTTGGCCACGTCACTTGATTTCTCTGAGATCTGGTTTTCTCATCTGAAAAATGAGTGTTTATTCGTTATTAAAAATGGGGTTTGTGTGTGTAAGTGAGTGTTTTTTCAATCATAGCTAGTTGACTCATCGGGTTACTGTGAGTGGGAATTGATTTGATGGTAGCATTAAGGGAATGCTAACCCAGACTTTTAATGACATTTTAATGCTATTCTGTCCTTCTTCATCTTTCCTACTGCCAATCCTTTGAATTGACAACCTGGTATAGGTCTTGTTCATGCAACTGTATCTCCTATGTATTCCTCTGAGGGTCTGGCTCTTCCCTACCACTCCCTGCCCCACCCCAAGCCCATCCACCTCAATCTAAACTTTCGTGCCCAATAACTGTAGAACAGAGGGACCTACTCACAAAACCATCCCCAGGTGTGTGAGCTGCTAGTGTTGATTGAGGCCCAGAACAATTCTTGGCAGCCCTAATTAATCCCTTAGATTCTCAACTTTCAGAAAGATTTCCCCTCTTTATTTATTATTATAATGAACACTCTTCAGTGTTCTCCAAACGATTTATGGTAGATGAGGTTTTGAAATGTTTCCCACTGAAGCGGAAGCTGACATTTTGATCTAGGGGGAGTTGAGACCTAGTTTAGTACGAAGGACTCACGGGACCCCTCACTCTTAGAGTGATCCTTCTGCCTTGATGTGTTACCCCTTCCATTCCAATGATGCTGTCAGAAAATGTATCCATTTTTAAAATTATGCCCCCATTATGGGTTATTTCTATAGGGTAGACCAAAGTGTCCATAATGCTCACCCATAAGGCTGAGCACCTTCTTAGTTCTTACTACCCTTTACTTAAAAGTTACTATCTGTTTCCTTTTTTTGAGCCAATTTGCCATCCATTTTAATAGATGGTGCTACTTCTGTGCTTTTAGTCAATGTCATCTACTTTGGGGGAGTGGTTCTGGCCTCTATTAGCTTCCTGGAATTAGAAGGATCACAGACTCTAATATTAATTCTAACCTTCGAGGGAACCAGGACAGGAGAACCTTCTCTCCACTTTCCTACACACACACACACACACACACACACACACACACACTTCTTGCAAAGCTTGTAGTGCCCAACTTAGGTGGGTTACCGGGGCTCTTCTTGCCTAAATAAAGAGGTTTAAATATTTTTCATGCTCTTGAAACATTAGTGGCTAAGTAGTTTGTGGTTTCCTTGGTGACATGGAACTTAAATTACCCTCCTCCCACTGCTTCCATACTATTCTTTATACCTTTCAGCTATGGAGAAATGGCCTCTGGAGAGTTCCTGTTATTCGCCTCTACTTGTTCCCTTATGTTTAAGTTTCTCCTTAAAACTATTTTTTCTTCTTAACAATTTTCTATCCTGACCACCTTCATACTCTGTTTTACAGCCTTTTCAGACCAGACATCACCATCCCTCACTGTTCACTCACCCCCTTCTTTGGGAGGCTCAGTACCAGATGAAGTCAGTGCAAGAATCTGATGGTGGCATTCCCCGGATGCAGGTCTTTCTATTGTAGCCCCTGCAATGAAGAACATAGTTTATGACATATAAGTCAGAAGGTAGTCTGGGTTGACTAGAGAAACAAATTCATAGACATTCATATATGTGTAACAGAGAAATTTATATCAAAGAGTAA